GCGGCCTTCAGGGAGCAGGAGCGGAACCGCGGCAGGCAGCTGCTCCGCCCACCCCGCTCCCATCTGCCAAGAGCGAAAATTAGGGGGATTTTACTTAGGTTATGGTTGATTTTAACCTATTCACCTCCTAGTGTAGAAATTGATATTTCAGGTACTGTCAAAGTTATCAACAAAGACACACATAGTCTTCATGCATTTAAAATTTTCACCCTCAAAACCTAGAATGTCATCACTACCCAGGCCCAAGCCCATGCCCATATCAGGGCTGGGACTGGGATGGTTCTTCCCTCACTGGTGTTTTTCTGCGGAGGAAATGGATTCATTGTTTTCTCCCAGCTACCACTCTATAGCCCTGTCACGACGTCTCGTGTAAGCAAATGGCATAACTAAATTTACTCAGTGCCCATGTTTTGTGGCAGTAGAATATCAATCTAAGAAGTCAGAGGACTCATTAAAACTCACTCTCACTTGTCCACAGCTTGTTATTTTTAGGAGAGGTTCTGAAAGGACATGGAAAATTATATTTTTGCTGTGTGTTTTGGTCATCTACCACTAGAGGGCAGCATTGCCACTATTGTCTTTCGGGGCTTTGGGAACCACAGCCCATCTCAGGCCTGTTACCTGGGTGCTTCTTCCTTTGGTGGCCCCCTCCCAGCTCTAAAACGGATGCACTGGCCAGGGTGGTTTCAGGATGTGTATGGGGAGATGGGCACGGTCTTATCTGCTGGCAAACGTGCACCTTTTGTTTAATTTTAAAGATGAGAGAGGAGGAAGGTGGATATACACCCTCGGCCCACCTACTTGAGTAAATCTCAATATAATTTTAAACATAAGTTGTATTTTTGTTTGTTTTGCTGGATGGCAAAAAATAGCAAGTATGTCTTTCCTTTTTTCCTGTTGTGGAATCATTGGGATAGAATAAAGTACCTTCTTTTTCCATCCCTCCTCCTCACCCACCCTAACCTGGGAGAGGTGGGGTTCCTGAGAGTGTGAGCTCGCCCCCTTGGGAGTCAGTATTGTTGATTTTGGTGACCTTCAGACCCCATGAGTCACTGAGCTGGATCAGTGCAGAATAGGACAGGAAGGGTGGGACCCAGTTGAAGGAGGGAGCACCTACCTCTGAAGAGGAGGCTTTCTGAAGCCTGGCTTGTTCAGCAAGAATTATTCTGTAAGATGGCAAATGTGGTTGGATTTCTAATGTGTAGGCTGAGTAAAAGAAAAATTAAGAATTCACCATGCTGAAAAATATGATGAACATTTGGAGGGTCCTTCATCTACATTATAGCAAAATCCAAAAATATATGAATTTTTGAACTTGTTGGAGTCTTTCAAATGCCAGTCTGCTCTTACACGAAAGAAAAACATAATTGAAATGGCTCCCAGAATCTGTCAGAGTAAACTAGGAAATACCCGGCAACCTGTATCTTAAGTTAGGTTGCTCCAAATATATCTTTCACATTTCACAAAATCCATCTAACATTTTTTCCCCAATGTAGAACAAACATACAGACGTAGAGACATAAACTTAATTATATTTATATACACATGTAGTTTCATATTCATTCTTCATACAGTGACTGAGTCCACAGCTTTATAATTTAATGACTGAATTACCAAGTATATTGACGCGTTTTAACTAATCCTTATTGTTTGGTGCTTGATGTGTTTTTAATTATGTTTGCTACTGTGAACAGAAGTGTTCTGAACAGCTTTGTACAAATTACCTGCTTTCAGTTGATGTAGCCAAATGAAATTCTGGATCCGGGGGGAAACATTTAAAAGCCTATTTATGTATTGTCAAATTGAATGCTGAAAAATTGTTGTCTTATAGGCTTAACAATATCTTTCAAAAATTTGTTCTATTGTTGCTAGTTTAATAGAAATAGCGGTTTTGTTGTCCTTTTTCACATATATGATTGTTTTTGAAGATGTGAAGTTATGAATTTTCTTCACCTGTGCAGTACAATCTAGAATATACAAAAGTTTTTACTTGTTCTTGTGTATTTTGGATATTCATTTTTTAATGATTAATATGTTTACTATAGTAATACAATCCATAGTTTAAAAGTCGAAGTGTGCTCTATACTTTTGTTGGAAAATAGCAGTCTTTTATTTCCCCCTCACACCCCTGAGTCCTGCTCCTGGAGGTGACCACTCTCAAGTCCCCTCTGTTGTGCTCCATGTTTCTAAACGGTGCTCGTGCTGTGCTTTACCTGATGTTCCTCCAGGTTCTCATTTTGGGCATCGTAGGTTGACTTCCTGACATGGAAGTTGCAGACCGTTCTCTCACACCGCCCCCGGGTTCTCTGCTCCCTTCCGCCCACTCTGCTTATATTTTTATATCACATGATGGGATACCATAGTGAGATATGGGCTGTGGACCCACTCATGGCGACTGGTGTTTTGAATGAACATGAACTATCTCACACTATCTTCACAACTGCTGAACTGGGTACCAATAGTCTTCTGATTCTGAAGATGAGAAAGCTGAGGCCTGTAACTTCCCCAAGGTCACACAGCAAGGCTGTGACAGTGATGGGATTTGGTAAGAGTGCAGTTAACCAGCAGACTTACACTGTGGCAACTGTTACTCCTGTTACCTGTGATTGCACACATTTTATTACCAGTGTGACTTATTTCTTTATTTTCATTTCTGTCACCAGGATGTGAGGGGCTGACAAAACTTGACTTGACTGTAAATTTCATCGGAGAGCTGAGCAGCATTCAAACCCTTCAGTGCAACATCCACCTGAAGGAGCTCTTCCTCATGGGGAACCCGTGTGCTGACTTTGACGGCTACCGGCAGTATGTGGTGGCCACTCTCCGACAATTAAAGGTCTGGTTGCTGCAATGATGCAGAAATCTCAGAAAAAGTGAAAACAAGCAGCTATAATAATTCCTGATTCATTCACAGCACTGTCAGGAAATGTGTGGCTTCAGAGAATGAAATATTCCAGAAAATCAAAAACCAATTCTTTGACTTACTGAGCCTTTAGAATTGTTTTAATTGCTTTCCTAAATCTCTGAAAAGTAAATTGCCTACTTTCCCCCTTTCTCATTCAGAATACACAGAACTTAATTTAATAATTTCTTGATGAATTCAAATCATTGTTATGAAGAACATTCATCATTACCAATAGTTTGGGGGTTCTGAGGTGGCTACAGTTATATATATCTTTGTATTTCTTAGTCTGAAACTGCTGTGTTCTTAAAACTTTTATAATTATTATTTTGTTATTGCTTTCTATTAACTTGTTCTCTATGTTAGCGGTTCTCAAACTTGGGTAGGTGCTGGAATACTTGGATGGCGTTTGCTGGCTGAACCCTCAGGGTTCTGACTGAGTGGGTCTCATGTGACACCTGAGACTGCATTTCTGACAGCTGTCAGGTGTCGCTGGCAGGGCTGGTCCAGCACCTCGTTTGAGAGCCCCTACCCTCTGTGTTCTTCTTACGCTATACCTGCCTCACCTGGGGTCTTTGGGGCTAGGAAAGAGCATGTGGTTTCTGCCTGCGCGTGTGAAAGAAGCCGTGTTAATTTCTGTGCAGCTCCAAGGGTTCCCAGCCTGCGCGGGGCCCGTGCTCCTGCGAAGAGAACGCACAGGCGCGCTCGCTCCGATGGCATTTCCTTCAGCCCTCAGAGGACGTTTGGCTTTAGACTGCTGTGCACTGTGTGGCTGAGATTCTGGGTTAGTGGGACACATTTCTCTCATGTAAAATTTCTTCAGTTAAGAGAATGAGTGACTCAGGTGCCTGAATCTAGAATGTCTGCCTGGGATAAACTGTGTATGGGCTCAAACAGATCCCAGGCTGATCATCAGGACCAGTGACTCCCAGAAAACAAACTGATGGGAACCAGAGTATCCCAGGGATGGGCCCTGTAGCGTCACGCAGGAGCCACTTCCCTGGGAGGTGCGGGGCACCCAGCTGAGCCCGCGTCCCTGCGGCAGGTTCCGGTGGCAGCTGGTGAGCCATCAGGCAGGCACCTGAAACCTAGGCCAGGCTGTTCCAGGTCCTTCGGGTGAAACATTCCTGATCCCCTTGGGCCCCCGCAGGGGGTGATCAGTGCACTGGGGGATGAGGGGGGCAGGCTCGGAGAGCTGGTGCTCCTTGTCTAAGCGGACATGCCGGGCGCGTGGCTCAGGTGGCACTGGAGTCTGCCAGTGAGGATGGTTTGCCTTATGTCTCCACTGGCTATGAGGGGTGCGCCTCATTTTTAATGTAGAACAGGAGAGTAATTCCTGCCTTAAAAGAGCTCTGCGAGGCTTTCGATACATTTTAGTTTCTCTTTCTCTTTGCTGCAGCATGTGTGCAATGATCATGAATACACATGGACACTCTACCTCTGTGTGTCAACAATCCTAAATAAAGACCAAGAAATATTTTAATGAACAACTTAAAACTTAGTCTCTAGGGCCCTGGCTGGTGTGGTGCAGCAGTTAGAGCATCGGCCTGTGCACTGAAGGGTCACAGGTTCCATTGCTGGTCCAGGGCACGTACCTGGGTTGCGGGTCTGATCCCCAGCCCTAGTCAGGGCACATGCGGGAGGCAACCAATCGATGTGTCTCTCTCACATCGATGTTTCTCTCTCTCTCTCTCTCCCCATCCCACTCTCTCTAAAAATCAGTGAAAAAATATCCTCAGGTGAGGAATAACAGAAAACAAAAACAAAAAAGAACTTAATCCCTGGGTTCATTAGCCTATCTAAACTCAGGTGTGATTTTGGCTTGAAGGAAACTTGGGCCAGTTTCTAAGACTTCCTAACAGAAGTTGTCAAGTAAATTGAGATCCAGTAAGAAGACCCCCGGGACAGGTGCTGACAGACATGTGGCACGGTCCCAAATTTGTTATCAGCTTTCAATATGAGCTCTTCTGTTTACTGTCTGTGTGGTGATGGGGATTCATTTATCATAATATTTTAGAAACAAGAGGTCTAGATTAAATCAATATTTAGTTAACCCGAAGTAAAGGAAATATACACATGCATAATTACACACACACATTATTAAGTACATCCTTAAACCCTTGTGGTCCAGATACGAGTGAGAGAACAGCACCTTGCTTCCAAATGTTTATTAAAATTCCAATGGAAGAAATTATATATATTCAGAATTTTCCAAATTGTTTAGATCTTAACTCTAGCTTAAATTAGGTTAAATTTTTTTTAAAAGTTAAGTACTTAGACACAATTACTTATCCCTTTAAAGATTAGGTTTGAGTAAGTTGGATTTTATCATTGCCGCCTCGTCTTTCACTGTGAAAAGAAACAGCTTTGGGAAGCCCGTCACTGTGTGGAGTATGCGTGACCCCTCTCGGGTCCCCATGTGAAGCTCTACTTCAGAAGCGTGTTTCAGAAATAAACATTAAGGGACACCTGGAAACTAGTATATTTTCTCATGAAAGGCAACAAAAGTCATGTGACTGATCATCTTTTCCTGTCTTGCTTTGGCTGCCAGGAAGCTCAGAGCCAAATCTGCAGCCCACCTATACTAGCCACGAGTCCTGTGACCAAAAGCATACTTTAAATTATTTGTTTCCAAATCTCAACAATTTAATTTTGATTTACAATGTAACCAATCCTGATAATGTTTTCAATTTATATTTTTTCAATCCGTGTGTTTTTTCCTTTTGTATTCGTTCCCTACTGCTGTGGTAATGAATTACCACAAACATATGGCTTAAACAACACAGATTTATACTTACGTTTCTAGATGACAGACATCTAACACTGAGGCGTTGTCAGGACTGTGTTCTTTTGCAGGCTGGAGGGGAAAGTTTGTTCCTTGGATAGTTCAGAGTCTGGATGGTGCCTGCGTTTTTGAGACCATGGATCCTTTCTCCGTCTGCCAAGCCAGCAGTGTAGATCTCTCCCTAACTCTGACCCTGACACGTCTGCTGTCCTTCACTTAAAGGACCCTTGTGGTTGCCTTGGGCCCACCCAGCTAATCTGGATAATCTCCCCATCTTAAAGGCCTTCATTTAATCACATCTGCAAAGTCCCTTTGGCCGAGTAAAGTAATGTTTACTGGATGAGAACACATCTATTCTTGGGAGGAGGGGGGCAATTTGCTGCCTACTACACACCTTTCTAAGTACCTCCCCTCTTTCTGTAGAATGAGGCTGGGTAAATAAATAGGTGTCTTTAAACCAGTAGCTTTGACATTGCAGGTTTTAGGTTGGGGGTTTTATTTGAATATTTCAACTTGGAAAATCACTATAGAAGTGCCAGTGGAAACAGTGACCGTACAATTACTCGTACTCTCTGCGTCTTGGCAGAGGTAGAACGTGGGCTCATCTGTATTAAGGCTCCGTTTTGGATAACGGATGGCCCTTCTTGTAGAGCGCATTCGAGAAGGGTCGTGGTTATACTTTAGAGCTATGGTTTGACTCAGGGCATCGAAAAGCTTGACATAGTGAGTAGTTATAGAATTAATATATTTTGAGAGCTTGTCATTAGTGATCGGTTTTAACAAAAGACCTACTTATTATGACCAATGGGGACAGTTTATAAACTGTGTTGATTGTATGAAATCAACACTGACTTAGATCAAAGGTTGTGATGTTTCCCGTATCACCATGGTGTGTTACTTATTATTTCTAAGTTTAAAATACTCCAATCAAAGTCAGCTTGGGGATGGCTGGAGCTGCAGCCCTGGAATGATTTCCCTCTGCCGGCTGTGTTTTATTCAAGTGGTTGGATGGAAAAGAAATAGAGCGTTCGGAAAGGATCCAGGCATTGCAGAACTTTCCAGTGGTTGAAGGACAAATCAGAGAGCAGGAGCGAGCTTACTGCCTCAAACGAGCCAAAGACAAGAAAGAGGCTCAGAGGAAACTTCAAGAAGAGCATGAACACAAAGAGAAGGAAAGCCACCCAGGCTTGGACGGGCGCTGGGACGCAGACATCGGCCCGACTCCGTATGTAAATTATTAGAATTTATTTTCCTGTTGAAAGCAGCCAACCATGTTCTTTTCCCAAGGTGTTCACAGCATCACCTACATTCCAGACAGTTAACTTGAAGAATATATTATTATATTGATCACTCTGGCAGGGAACATTGTACTTGGAAGGCTCTTGTACTGTCTCCAAGAACCAACAAATGTGCTTATAAGAAAAGGCCAGTAACTGGCTATCAGCGCCAGAGAGGGACCAAGAGCCCAGGTGTAAGAGCATCACGTTCCCAGGAAATGTTTGCCTTCTCTCCCCACTCCTCCTCCCAGGCCCACATATCTGAAGTCAGGAGGGAGCCCAGCGAGATGGGGTACATGTCCCTCTCCCCATGCACAGCCCCGTTATGAGCTGGGAGAGGGGAGAAGGCTTTGGAGAGGGAGGGGAAAGGCTCAGTTTGGATGTAAGTCTGGAGTTTTGTTTAAATTGTAGACCTTTTAACACCTGAAAGTGATCGTTAGCTGAGATGAGACTGTCCTTGAAAGGGAGCTGGGATGTGCTCAGGAGTGGGAAGAGAGTTCCGAGGAGCAGATTAGAAGGAAGTGGTTGAAGAGCAAAGTTTTTGTTCATTTCCTAATGAGTTCAACCTATTTCACCAACCAGCTACATGCATTTATATGCATTTTGCCTTTGGAGACTTTTGCTATTTAGCTGACATTTCTATAGTTTTTTTAAAGTACAATTATTTTTGTTTTTTAAATTAGATTGCAGAAGGTAAAAGTAAACTAGTCACTTTCTTTTAAATGAGAATGGAACCAGTTATTTCCATTACAATTAGCTAGACTATTATAGCATATTAGATCTCCTAAATAGATTGTTTTTATACCATAAAGAACTATAGCTATATGGCAAATCTTTTATTTTTAGAAATTTATATTATGTAGCTTATTAAGCTATCTAGTTGGATTTTATAATAAAGAATCCAAGAGGAATTTTACTCTATGTTCTGTTTATACTATTTAAATTTCATGCTCTAGTATTTTTGGTCCATCCCTTCAAAATCACCTTATTTGAAGGTCAATGAAATGAGTCTTTTGTGACATCTCATTTCAGTCATAAAGCAACAAAGTGAAACATTTAATAAGTACTTACTATTTGCCATACTTGGTACTAAGAGCTTCCTGTGGATTTTTTTCATTTAATTTCATTTGGCAACAGAGTGTATATTCTAGGGCTAGGTGAGGGGAGAGAGGCTATTCCCATGTTTCCTGTTTGAATAGTGCGTTTCCTCTCTGCTGAATACAGTCCCCTAAAGGTAGTGTCATTGCCTGTCTTTACCAGGGTTATATCTCTGGTGCCTGGCACATAGAAGGTGCTCAGTAAATATTTCTTCATTCCATGTTGAACAAATGTTGAATATCTCACAAAATATCCATCTGACACCATATAGAGACATCTTTCAATTTGCTGACAGTTCACAAAACATGAACAGAAAGGAGAACACAGCACTGTGACCATATAAAGCTACAAACTCAGAAGATACCTGTGAGAACAGACTAGGCAGAGGCCACGCCACAGACCTCGTATGTCCCACTAGAGCATTTTGGAGCTAGAGAACCTGAAAATGATATGATCGAATTTTACTGTTAGAAGATGCTCTGGGAGCAGTGTGGAGGATCGGGTTGAGGGGTACAGACTGGAGATGGGGTGACTGCTAAGGCTCAGTAGTCCCTGAATTTTTCCAATCATCAGAACCTTCTGCAAAATGTTATAAAACACAGATTCCTGGGTCTCACCCCAAATCTACTGGGAGCCCAGGAATCAGTACTTTTTATAAAGCTCCCCAGGTGACTTGTGCGAGCCAGGTATGTGACCCCTTGAATCTGACTGCTGCAGTCTTCCTCCTGGTGATGGATGACAAGGGCCTGCCCCGGTGCTGTCGCAGTAGTTCCTCCAACTTGGCTCCAGTAAGCTCTGTTCTAGACAAGTTTTGTCAAGGTAAGAAGGTAACACAAGAAGAATGTATAAGATATTTAAGAAGCAGCTTTAAGGGTGGAACTCACATGTCCATTACTGGTCTTACATACTTTGTGTCTTTTTGTTCTTTCCTAGCCTGTCTTCTGTAGAGAGTGAAGACCACCAACTCCAGGCATCAGAAATACAAGAAGGGGAAACTAATAAAAAGAAATTAGACGACAGCAAAGATGACCTGGAATTCTGGAATAAGCCATCTTTGTTTACTCCTGAGTCTAGATTGGAAACTCTTAGACATATGGAAAAACAACGAAAAGACCAAGAACAGTTAAGGTATTCCATTTTTCCTGGCGTTGAGAGTAAGGTAACACTCTCTTCTGGGCTATATTTTCATGGCTGTACATTATTGTAACTCATTACCTGTGTTCAGCCTTTGTTAGCCATCACTTGTAAACTCTGCTTTTTTTAAGTTCAGCTTTTGGTTGAATTCTATCAATTAACATTTATAAGTATCAAATGACTTTCTTCAGAATATCATGAATTATGGCATTTTAGGTAGGGTTTTGTTAGTATGACCTTAGCTTTGTAACTACTTCTTATTTATTTATTATTTATTTATTTATTTATTTATTTATTTATTTTAATTAATTAATTTTATTGTTGAGAGTATTACCAGTGTCCCTCGTTTTCCCCCTTTGCCCACCTCCATTCCACTGATCCCCCACCCCCTCCCAGTCCTTCACCTGTCTGTTGCCTGTGTCCATGGGCTCTGACTAATTTGTACTTCTAAATCCCTTCACCTTTTCCCCCATCCCCCTAAACCCCCTCCCATCTGACAACTGTCAGAATGTTCTCTGTATCTATGAGTCTGTTTCTGTTCTGCTTGCTCGCTTATTTTGATTTTTAGATTCAGTTGTTGATAGATCTGTATTTATTGCCATTTTATTGTTCCTATTCTTGATATTTTTCTATTTTTCTCCTTCTTCTTAAAGTAGACCCTTGAACATCTCATGTAGTGCTGGTCTAGTGGTGATGAACTCCTTTAGCTTTTCCTTCTCTGAGAAGCTCTTTATCTCACCTTCAGTTCTAGATGATAGCTTTGCTGGGTAGAGTAATCTTGGTTGTAGGTCCTCACTTTTCATCACTTTGACTATTTCTTGCACCTCTCTCTGGCCTGCAAAGTTTCTATTGAGAAATCATCTCACAGTCGTATGGGTGCCCCCTTGTAGGTAACTAACTACTTTTCTCTTGCTGCTTTTAAGATTTTCTCTTTGTCTTTAACTTTGGCATTTTAATTACAACGTGTCTCTATGTGGGCCGCTTTGAGTTCATCTTGTTTGGGACTCTGTGCTTCTTGGACTTGTGTGTTTTTTTTCTTTCACCAGGTAAGGGAAGTTTTCTGTCATTTTTTCAAATAGGTTTTCAATTTCTTGCTTCCTGTCTTCCCCGCCTGTTATCTCCATGATGCGAATGTTGGGCCGCTTGAAGTTATCCCAGAGGCTCCTTACACTATCTGCATATTTTGGATTCTTTTTCTTTTTGCTCTTCTGATTGAGTGTTTCTTGCTTCCTTATATTCCAAATTGCTGATTTGATTCTCAGCGTCCTCTACTGTTGATTCCCTGTAAATTATTCTTTTTTTCAGTGAGTGTAGCCATCATTTCTGACTGGCCCTTTTTTATGTTTTTGATGTTCTCACTAAGTTTCTTGAAGTTCTCACTGAGGTCCTTGAAGGTCTGGTTAAGTTCCTTGAGCATCCTTATAACCACTGTTTTGAACTCTGTATCTGGTGGTTTGCTTGCTTCCATTTCATTTAGTTCTTTTTCTGGAGATTTTTCCTGTTCTTTCATTTGTGACATGTTTCTTTTTCTCTGCATTTTGGCTGTTTCCCTGTGTTTGTTTCTATGTATTAGGTAGATCTGCTATGTCTCCCAGACTTGGTAGAGTCTGGTGTAGTAAGCGCCCTGTAAGGCCCAGTGGCTCAGCCTCCCCAGTCACCGGAGATAGGCACTCCAGATGTGCCCCTTGTGAGCTGTGTGCACTCTTCTATTGCAGTTGAGCCTTGGTTGATATTGGCGTCACTGAGAGGGATTGACCCTCACGCCAGTTGGTTGCGAGGATCAGCTGCAACTACAGCAGAAGAGCTGCTATACAGGAGACACTCTTATGGAGCAGGACTTGCTTCAGTGGGGCTTTAGTGCTCACCAAGTCTGCCCTTGAATTTGTCACTGGAAGAAGTGGTAGGGTTCTAATCCGACGTAGTCAAAGCTGACTGACCACCTGGTGTGGTGCACTGGCTCTGGAGCCTCCTGGGAGGTGCAAAGTCAGCCACTCCCTGTGCTCTGCCCATGGCCACCCAGCATGAGCTACAAAGCAATCTGCAAATGGCTGCTGCTTGTGTTGGGCTTGGAGGTGCCCAGGAGAGGCCAAGCTATGAACCAAGGTGGATTGCCACTAGAGCCTGGACTTGGGTCACTTATTGAGTGGTATGGAGCACGCTGAGGACACCTGCTGCTTGTTTGAGAGATTTTAGGAAAGTCTGAAGCTTGAGGAAAGAGAGGCCAGTTGTGTGGAAAAGCCACTGGAAATGGCTTGGATGAGCCTGCAAGTAGGGAGGGCTGGAGTATCAGAGAATCACCAGGGCCAAGTGAATAGTGTGAGCCAGGTTGATAGATTCAGATGATGGTGCCCCATCTGCCGGCTCTGTGGGGGGAGGGCTTGTCAAAGGAGCAGTGGCCTTTGCCAGCACTTCTGTTTGGGAGAAAGCTGCCCCTCCAGCTCTCACCCTAATTCCAAGCAAATTAATTCCTCCTCAAATGTCCCGGGTTCCTTTCAAACTGCTGCCCAGTGCTGGAGCTCAGAGGGAGTAAGTCTGAGTAAGGCCGTGCACGGGCCCTTTAGGAGGAGCTGCCTGGGACTCTGGCAGCCTCCATGTCCCTCAGCCACAATCTCCACTGTTTTTTATAGCCAGAAGTTGTGGGGACGTCTCTTTCTGGTTCTGGAACTCTGGGCTGGGAGCCTGGTGTTGGGCTGGGACCCCTTGCTTTTCAGGGAAACCTCCACAGCCAAGATATTGCTCCCAATTTTAAACCACCCCCTGTGGATGTGGGACCAGCAGGTTCCTCGATTCCGCCCAGTGACTCTGACCTTCCTACTGGTCTTGATGTGCTTCTTCGGTTTCCTAGTTGTAGGACTTCCCTTCAGCTAGATTTCAGGAGGTTCTGAGTAATGGTTGTTCTGTATTATAGTTGTAATTTTGATGTGGTTGTGGGAAGTGTTGAGTCCCGTGTTTACCTACACCACCATCTTGTCTAGAACCAGTTTTGTAACCACTTTAAATCTGTCAAGTAGTAGTAGGGCCTGGGTTAGCAATACTAGTTATCATGGTACCAAGAAAAAGGCCACTTTGTGGGATGAATGAGTTCCTTTGCGTCTTTTAATTTACAAAATAAATAATTAGAAACTAGTTTCATTGGGCACTATATTTTCCTAATACAACTCTCTTGGACATTTAACAATATGCTTTCACTTTCAAATTGTTTAGATAGAACTTGTTAAGGAGCTAGAATGTGTAAGCTATTATTTTCAGAGGAGCTTTTATAAGATAGGCTTTGCCTTATTCTATTTCATGTCACTGCTCAAGTCTAGTGTGTAAAATGTGTCACTATGGGATTCTAATTTTTGAGCTCAGGAATGCGATCGATTAGCTCTGAAACAGTAAGAAACCAAAAGAGTAACAAAGCACTTGGAAATCTGCTGCTTTCATACATTTTCTTTATGAATTAAACAGGGAGGTACAAAATGAGAACTGAATTTTGTCTACACTACTTGTTTATAAAATGTGGTGATTTGTGCACTACGAGGCCCCTCAGTGCTCTGGGACGAACACTGAATAATGTCACAAAATGTGGATTCATGTCCCGGCTCTGCTACCTACTCTGTGTGACGTTGGCATGTACCTGACTTCTCCTCATCTGTTTCCTCATCAGTTAAACAAGGACTTGGACACCTGCCTTCCCTACTCTACTGTATTGTTAAGAGAATCAGATAGGCCAATACATGCAAAAGTGCTTTGCATGCTCGAGAACTCTTTGAAATGGAAATTCCATGTGTTTATTTAATAAGGACTATTTCTGATGTATATGCACCCATATATATATACATATATGTTTATATATATATGTGAATTGCATTTTATTGAGCCTGAAAGCAGGAGAAATGTTTCTTCCCCTGACAGCCTGAGAGTACAGCCTCCTTGGATGGAAGCTTAGTCCCTGTTCAGTGTGCTGTGCTCTGCCCAAGCTGTGGGTCCCTGAGATGTTTGCCTTTATGGATGCCCCTTAAGTATACTGGCTCAGAGAATAATGCAGTTCATGAGGACATTGACTTATTGGACCTGGGGTCCCCTTTAAAAAGCACAAAAATGTGAATAACTTTATATTTTAAAATAAAGTTAACTGACAAAATCAGTACTAAAAGAACAGTAGGGAACCTAATCAATAATATTGTGATAACTATGTGTGGTGCCAGGTGGGCCCTGGAAATATTGGAGGTAACACTTCATAAAATATATGGTTGTCCACTATGCCATACACCTGAATCTAATATAAGATAATATTGAAGGCAAACCTTAATTAAATTTTAAAAGTGAGCAGTAGAAATCCAAGGCGAAGAATTGCCTCTAATTTTATCATCTAAACAAATTCACCCATCTGATCTTCTAGATACACGCCTATTTTAGTTTTTATATATTTTCAGTAATGTTTTAAATACATAGAACTTACGTTCTACATTTCTTCATGTTATCCGTGAGTCTTCCTCTTTGCTCCACTTCTTACCTTCCTGTCCTTACCCCTCCAACATGATGAGTGTTAACTGGCTTGAGCAGATCCCTCCAGAACTTTCTCTGCCCTCTACAATTGCATGAATTAGTTGTGCAAAGGTAGAATTTGGAGTCTTTTATAAAACACAAAAAGGGACTTCTATGTTATATATTTCGTCTCACTAAATACATCATTAACCCTTTTCTTTCACTTTTTAGATCAGTAGGTAAAGAGCAAGCACATTTTTCATAGCTACAAAATATCTCAGCATGACTATCCCATGGCTGACCCCATCCTTCCTCCCCTGGTGGGCATGCAGGACAGTTCCAGGGGTGACTGTCCTGCAGCTGACCCAGTCCTTCCTCCCCTGGTGGGCATGCAGGACAGTTTCAGGGATGACTGTCCCACAGCTGACCCAATCCTTCCTCCCCTGGTCGACATTCGGGATAGTCCCAGGGGTGACTGTCTCACAGCTAACCCAGTCCTTCCTTCCCTCCTGGGCCTTTGGGACAGTTCCAGGGGTGACCGTCCCACAGCTGACCCAGTCCTTCCTCCCTGGTGGGCATGTGGGACAGTTCCAGGGTTTTGCCACCACAGACAGTGCTGTGATTAGACCTCTTTTACATAGGTCCTTATGTACTGGTATTTTTATTTCTATAAACTAGATTCTACTTGGCTGTTTAAAAATTGCGATTTTAACAAAAGCAAAAGCCGCATACACAAGTGGAGAATTGACAGTGATCTGGGTATATCATGCATAAAATAGACTTATTTAAATATTAATGGATATTTTATGAAAAGGGTTTTTTCTCCCTCATTAAATTATCTGGCAGATTGTCTTGCTCACATTTTTGCTATATAGATATGGATACAACCGGGCAGAAATCTGCCTCATGGTCAATTTCAGGCAGAGAGTGGACTGCCGAGCAGTCAAGTGTTGACGTAATCATAAATATCTGACTCGTTTTCCTTACATGATTTCTCACAATTATCAATAACCGTTATGTTCTTTTTGTTTATTTTCCCCTCTCCCCTCTGCCCCTTGTCCCCCCCACTCCATCTTAAGCGAGAAGAAGAAAGTGAAACCACCCAGGACGCTGATCACTGGAGACGGGAGAGCTCTGAACGTGAATGAGCCCAAGTATGTGAGGGCGCAGGGGCTTGAAGCAGCGGCATCTTTGGAGCTGGTCATTCTGGTTACAAGCTTGCTCTGTGGAGGGTGCATCTGACCTCCTGACCTCTCTTCACAAGCTCTGTGACTCTAATAAGAATGACATTTGTGCACATTTGAAAGCAAAATATCCATTATGTTTCCAAGTGCATAATGTCATGTTTCGTTTCCTCGGCATCCAGAAAATGATCTTGACGTAAGGAAATTCTAGTTATTTGTGTCCCCCGAAACTTTGGGCAGTTTACAATCTTATGGCTGAAAGTTGCCAATACATCATTGTTGTGTGTATTAATTTTTAAAACTGCCATGAATAAGGCTGAGAATATTGATACATGTCCTATGCATCTACTTTATACCCTGGAACATATTCTCAAAGCACTCGAGAGCCAGGGGAAAAAATTGATATAAATATCACACGAAGTTAATGAGAGAGGGAAAGTATTCAAACTGGAAATCCTCAAGTATAATAACACATGGTCTACGCTTTCTGGCCATCTTAAAGTTTAAAACTAGAAAGCAGACTATGAAGGCCCTTTGGAGCTAAATAATAGTCCAAAAAGCCCATGGTCTAAATCTTGTTCACTTCACCTTATTACTCAGAATCTGTTTCATTTCATCATTTCGTTAGCTGTGCCATTACCATGATGAAGGCACTGTCCTGAATAACTGCCAGGCATTACTGATTTCATCTTTATGGCAGTCCTTTGTGATGGTTGCGTTTCTTTTTCTTAGATCCAAATCCTGAGCCTGAGAGGTGAAGTGACTTGCCCAAGGTCACATAGGTGGTGTGTCCGACTTGCTCCCATTAACCCAATTCTAGTAGTGTCCATGATCAAGTTTATAATCTCCCTCCTCCCACACATACCTTCCAGTGGGCATGAATGCAGCACAAGACATTGTGCTGGGCACTGGCCATACAGCAGTGTCCACGATAGGCTTCTTCCTTCATGGATTGAAAGTCTAGTGGGAAGACGTCTCTCTTCAACTACAGCGGGGCTTAGGAGACCCCCAGAGCTCTCTGTGCTTCTAGTGAGACCACCACACTGACCACTTTACCTGCCCCTAAAACTAATCCTATTTAGGGGGATTCTATGGTTGCCCGTCAGCTCTGCTCCTACTACCTACCTCTATCATGCTGAGGTCACCCTTCCCAACCACCCTGGGTCGTCTGTCATCACCCAGAATGTTATTCCTGCATGGCTCCATACACCTTGTAATCCAGGTCATTCTCTTCCCCTTGCTGGACCCCTGTCCACTGCCCTCTGGAGCTTATTCTGTGTCAACAAAACTTGGACAATTGCAAAAGCTTGTTAAGCAGTCTCCCTGGTTCCTCTCTCGGCCTCCTATAATCTCTTCCACTCAGCCAAATAACGAAGCAGGAAGGGAAGGAAGGCCATACACTGCCCCTCTTTAGGAAAATTCCTGAAAAGTGCCATACAACACTTTCCTTCGCAGAACTAAATTACATGACGTCATCTAGCTGCAAGGGAGGCTGGAAAATGTAGCCTCTACTCCGCAGAGCCATGCTCCTAGTTAAAATCAGGGGTTCCACTCCTAGTGAGAAAGGGAGAGCAGGTATTGGGGAATGATAGCAATCTCTGCTATAGAAAGCCTCTCTGAATTTACCTTTCAAGTGATGTATGAAGGGACAGTTTATGTTGGCTGACTAGAAAATTGGGGAGTAGCAATCGAGGCAGAGGGGCCAGCACATAAAAAAGCTCCTGAGATGAGATTTAAGAAAAAAAAGTATAGGTTGTTGGAACAACTAAAGTCCCGCACAGCTGGGCTGTTGAAATCAGGAGAATGACTGCCACAAGCAGACGTAATGACAACCAGATCTGTGGCTAATATTACATTTTCCAAACAATTTAGCTTATATTCTTTAATATTGTTGGGTTATGTGTGTTACAGAATAATGTGATAAGTAAGTGCTCAAAATAAAAGTCACCAAGTAGTTCTGAAATAGTGATTCTGAACAGTATGGAAGTTACACCTAGGACTCAGCCTCGGGGTACCATGGACCGACCTAGGGCTTTAAAATCCCGCCTCTCTGGCTCCTATGGCCTCTTTCCCCGCTGCGCCAGCTTCTCTGAGCCTCTGTTGCTTCATCTGTAAGGTGATAAATAATGGGCAGTGTCTCAGCATTTCCCAAGGTGATGGGAAGGTCAGCAATGAAGGGAGAAGAAAAAAGATGGCAAGGAAAAAGGCGACTGCTCAGAACGTAAGGAACAGGGTGTTTGATGAGGGGAGGCCAGTACAGCTTTTACTTCTCCGTAAACATGTCCAGTGCTTTGGTTTCCTCCCAGCAAACTCCAACAGAGCGGGAAAGAAACCTTTAACCACCAGGTGTCTCTGTCTCTGCACCAATGCTCATTTTCTGTATGTAATTTATCTTACGAGTCTCACATTTAAACAATGTAAACAGGTCATTTATGAACATGTTATAGGTTCCCGTTGAAATTTTTAAATTGGCATAGACATTTTATTGCTCAGCTACCAAAATAAGTTTGTCATTGGAAAGTATTATGTCATTATTATGAAGCTTACTTTTGGTAATGGATTTAGGCTGTCTGTGAGGTGTTGCTAAAGACATCATCTTCCTCTCTCTTCCCTGAATGGATGGCTCCTTAGACTTGACTTTTCTTTGAAAGACGATGAAAAGCGCAACCAGATCATCCTGGACCTGGCGGTGTACAGGTAAAGACGCCTTATCATGCGTATTCAATGGCATTTCTGTCTGCTCTCAGTCTCGGGTGCGATCTCTTGAGCTGTGAAACATTTTGAAATGAAACTTGGTTTGATATAAACCAGCACCTGCTCCTCCCCTGGCACTTCCGCTGCCCCCTCTCCCCGTCCCTGCTTTTTGACTTTTACCTGACAAACTAAATTTACTTGTATTTTAAAAAATTTGTGACAAGGCAAGAACTTTGTTTTGTTTGTTTTTTCCTTTCCTCCTTTCTTATATCTCCAGCCCCTAAAACAGCACCTGGCACCTGGTGGGAACTCCATAAGGACAAGAATGAATGAATGAATGAATGAATGAATGAATGAATGAATGAATGAATGAATACTGATGATGGGAGTCAATGAACATTTATACACATGAATTATAATGAAGGTCCTTCTCTTTTTTTTTTTAATACAAGTTTATTGATTCCAGAGAGAGGAAGGGAGAGATAGAAACATCAGTGATGAGAGAGAATCCTTGATCGGCTGCCCCCTGCAGGACCCCTGCTGGGAATCGAGCCCACAAGTTGGGCATGTGCCCCGACCGGGAATCAAACTGCTATCTCCTGGATCTTAGGTTGATGCTCAACCGCTGAGCCACGTTGGCCGGGCATTCTTTCTCTTTTTAAGGGCTGTTTTACATAATCAGCACTGTTTTATTTAATCTCTAAGTCAGTGAAGTGGGAGGGATGATTATCCTGGAATTATCCATGAGGGGGTAAATATTCAGACAGTGAGTCTTGTCAGAGTAAACACAGTAACTGGAGAAGCCAGAACATGAACCTCCAGGCCTAGTTCCAACTTTGTTCTTTAACTGTGGTAAACCACATAACTTAAAATTTATCACTTCAACCATTTCAAGTGTACAACTCAGTGAAATTTAATAAACATACAATGTTGTACAACCATTGCCACTACCTACTTCCAGGAAATTTTGATCACCCTGAAAGGAAGCCTCGTACCCATTAAGCAGTCACTCCTCGCTTCCCCTTTCCCCTGACAACCCATAATCTGCTTTCTGTCTCTGTAGATTTGCCTACTCTGGATATTTCATATAAATTGAATCACATGTAGCCTGTGCATCTGGCTTCTTTCACTCAGTGTAATGTCTTTAAGGGCTTACTTAGGTAGCCCCTGTCAGAATTTCCTCCCTTTCCATGGCCAAATAATACTCCACTGTATGGATATACCACTTTCTGGCCAGTCACCGATCGCTGGGCATTTGGGTGGTTTCATGGCGGCCTGCCCTTGCCTGTTGCCCAGCTCCTGGCGTGACCCCTCCCTGCTCGCACAGAGCTGCCTGTCCCACAGGCCCATGGGTTCTGCCCCGCCCGCCTGGCCCCTGCCTCGAAGGAGCGCTCGGCTCTTCTCCGGCTGCCTCTGTGTGCTCTGCTCCTCCAGCCCCGAAGGCACCCTTTCAGTTGTCTTTCGGTTAGACATTCCTTGTCACCTTTTTCGGGCCTTTCCATTTTTAGGCCTTATTCCTGGGGTTTAATGACTATGTGATCTTTTTTCTTTTTAGCTCTGTCAACTGCTTCACCTTCGTCTCCGAAGGAAAACTTGCCTCATCTCTGTGCTCGTACATTTTCAAAGACTAGTAATATTTCTCCTGTCTCCATAGTAAAACCCTTCCCTTCCCATGATTCTGTCTAAACTGATTACACTGAAGTTTCATGTTGTCTTCATCCGCACGTGGCTGCACACGGGAGGGGAAGTTCCCTCATTCATTCGTGTATGCTTCCTGCCTTCATTCAGCAGATATCTATAGAATACCTACTGGGTGCCAGGCCCTGGGAGACTGTAACTGGCCTGTTCTCAACACAGGCACTGCTCTCCTGTAGCTTACGGCCCAGTAGGGGAGACAGAGTCAGCAGGTAGGCACATGATAGGTCATCACAGAGGGAGAAGAGGGCCCCGCAGGAGAGGGACAGAGCTCAGGGACAGAAGGAATGGTGTGTGTAGCTCCCTGGCTGGAGGTATAGTCAGGGGAAGTCAGCAATGTGCGCACTGGAAATCCCAGGATGAGCAGCAGGGAGCTCTGCACAGAACGGGCGGGAGGCTGCGGCAGAGCAAAGCGGCGCGTGCAGAGACCCTGTCGCTGGGACAGGCGAGCGCACCTGAGCCCCAGAGAAAATATGCCGGCCGTTCCGGAGGTAGATACTGAACGTGAAGTTCTAGGAGCCCGTGATTCTACTTTTCATTATCATGATTTTTATTAAATAAGAGAAAATGATGCTTTGTAAGCGCTAATTATGTATGAGGCACCAGGCATGTGTCCCCGCAGCTATTTGGTGACAGGCACTGTCGGCACCCCCATTTTACAGGTGAGGAAGCCGAGGCGCAGAGCGGTTAAGGCAGGAGGCGCGGCGGCCTCCCTCCCAGGCCTGTGTGACTGCAGCCTGTGCCTGGAACCCCGGTGTTACCTGCCTGCCTGAATACTTCTGGTTTTTGAATCATCACTGCATTTTTTAATGTTCACAAGCAGTATTTTAAAATGTATGAATATAGTGATTTGTCTGAAGGCGCGAGGTGAAGTCTTCATCCATCACTTGTTCGGGAAGTCGAGGACACTTGCCACCTGATCCCGGGGTCGCTGCCACAGACAGAGGCTTCGCTCGCTCAGCAGGCGGTGCCTTCCAGGGAGGAGCAGAGCCCTGGGGGGATGGTCTCGGGGCAGCTGCAGAGCAGAGCGGGGCGGAGAGCAGCTAAGGAAGCTGGGCCTGGGTTGCAGCCCCCACGCAGAGTCCAGTCAGCATTCCTGGCTATTCACGTCTTAGGGGCTTAAAATAAAATATTCATGAAAGAACAGGCAAGCTGTTTTTGCAAACCTCACATTCCAGGCCTCCGATATTTTTGGGTTAGGGGCAATCAATGCCAAGTGTACTTGTGGGTCTAAAAATGAAATTGCTGATATATTGAATTTTCTTTGATCTGAGGATTAAATCGAGGCTAATTTTTTAAGACCTGTTTAGCATGGAAATTTTAAGCTCTCTCATTTAAAATGGTCCCATAAGTGTGGGTTTATATTTGTAAATTCATTTGCAAACTTAATGTTTTTGAAAACTCACAAGATTAAGTATGTTTACTATGTTGAATTCTCAAGGTATATGGATACCTCTTTAATCAATGTTGATGTGCAGCCAACTTACGTGCGAGTAATGGTCAAGGGGAAGGTAAGTGTGACGCTGTAGACTGTTAAATTTCAAGAGCCAAGCCTTAGACTAAGCTAGGCTGCCTGAACATTTTTTAAAGTAATATTAAAATGGGAAAGGAGAAACCCAGTCAGAAAGCTAGTTTTTAGGCACATGACTTTATGCCAGGGGAGCAGCACTCAGCAGGAGTGCTTTCTGATCACCGTGCAGCTTGATAAATTAATATTGTTAACCTGTGTCTATTGTGTTGGAACTTTTCCCAAAGCTGACTTTTATATATATCGTAGGCTATGCTTGAACTTATATTTAAATACTGTACCTATTTTAAATTTACATTGTCAATGCTTTCATTCATAGTAACTGTAATTTCATAATTTTTGAAATAGTAGTTTTTGCTAATTCTGATCATTCATATGAGGTAGCTTGATGACTTTAAAATGGAAATATGTTGATGTTTTAGGACAGTAATTTTTGTCTACAAATTCTTAATTATCCACGTTAACATAAATGGACCAATGAGTGTTTCATTGTTTGTGATCGATGACTGTTCTTTAGACTATTCATTAAAATAGGTAAAATAGTTCATGCATATCAAGCATAGCCCATATATTGTTTTGTTTCTAGTAAGTGTAAGCACATTTTTAAAAATTGAATGTTGAACCTTGGATTTGTAATGAAAATACCTCGTAAAGTGACTACACTCTGTGTAAGATGCACTCGCTCCCTGTGGCTCTTCCTGTTCATTTCCAGCCCTTCCAGCTTGTCCTCCCTGCAGAAGTCAAACCTGACAGCAGCTCCGCTAAAAGATCTCAGACGACAGGGCATCTGGTAGTCTGCATGCCCAAGGTAGGTGATGTCATTTGCATCAGTTTCAAGTCTGGATGTGTTAGTTCCTGCAGTACTTGACGTGCCTGGGTTAATTATAACTTCTGATCAAGGTTTTTTTGGTTGAGAAAGCCAGAAAATCTACTCCCACCAGCTCAAGCAGAAGCACAAAGACCTATGAGAACAGAGAACCAGGACTAGGACGTGGCTGGGGCCTAAGGTGACTCGTCCTGCCAGGATTTTTGTCTCTGCAGCCTTCCCTACCTCTACAGACCAGAGTGTGGGTGGAAGTTGACTTTTGTAAATCGCATGGTTCTTCGAGCGTGTGTATTACTGGTGATCAGTACTTTCCTTACCTGTAGCTGAGAGGAGATGTAGTCTGCCTTGGTGTGTGTTTGAATTCCAAATATTGAGCTCTCTAGGTTTGTGACTTTAGGCAAGTTATGAACTTTCCTAAGCCTCTCTGTCCTAATTAATGCTTAAGAGAGATAATACACATAAAATTCATAGTATAGTGAGCACTCAGTAAATATTGCTAGTATTATTTTTCATATTTTTATATATGGACAAGGTCTTATTTTAACTAAAACTCTTTTTTGCCTACTTTTGCGGGGAGAGGTGGTATAGATGTACTTTTACTGTGAATCAGAGAAAAGAGACAAAGGAAGCCTCTCCTGTCACCATGGAATAAAAGTTCCTCTGATTGGTGAAGCCCATTTAGCTGAAGATTCCAAGTCCATAGCTGGACCCTGGACACCTGAACCAACCTCTGACAAAAAGATGGTAGCACTTTGTTTTGTTTCTATTATTTTCTTTTTGGTTACTGTTATCTCAGGCCATGAGCTAGGGTGAGATAGCTTTGCCTCAGCCACTCAGGTCCAAAGGGGAAGAACAGATAAGCCAGTTACAATGGAAGAAGAGAAGAAGGCATCAGGCGTGACTGGGCACAGTGTACACTTGACTCACCAATGAGGTTTCGATGATGATTTAATATCCCTCATTTTCCTATAGCCGGTTTTGCAGCAGATTGATTATGGGTAATCAATTATGTATTTTTACTCTGAGGCAATAAAACAGCAAATACAATTTGTTGTCAAGCAAAAAAATAAACAGAACTGTAAGAATTGCATTGTCCTTGGTGACTGCAACAATTAAGGAAATGCATGCTCATTACAATATCCTATAGGGAAATCGAAGAGATAACTTAATTACCCCAGTACTTTGATATAGACATTTGTATAACACAATGATCAGCAGGTTTTTTGGGGGGTGGTTTGTTTTGTTTTTTGGAAACTTCCATTCTAACTGTAGCTGGTGCTTCCTAAAAGGAAATCAAGACACAACTTGTGTACTGTTGCAGGTGCCAAGCAACTGATCAGAAATCCTGGCTGCCACTGCTGTGAACCTCATAAATAAACACAGCATCTTATTTCCACTGTCCTTTTTGTTCTTATATCTGTAAATTTTTCATGTTAAATACACCTGAAAATTATAAAAATTACATATCCAATAATGTATGTTTTCCCATGTCTTACTCTTATTTTATGTCCCTCAAAAGTGTGTGTTTGTTTTTTTAAGTTTTTCTTTTATACTTGTTACATACTTACGGGTACCACATGCATGGTTTTAGTTCCCATTCTGAGTGAGAATATTCCCCTATAACGTTTTCTTAGAGTTTATGCTTGGCCTTCCGTATGTTTTCTTAAGTGAGGTCAGGCTGAGTTACATGTCCGTAAACAGTCTTACCATCAGCAGCCTGGGATGTTGGGCACCTGATCTCATCACAGGCCAGCTTAACAAGATTGAACTGAAATTTTGTATTCACTGAGGAGCTCACACCAACTCATTAAATTAAACTCCCATCTAGATTCTCAATTGACAAGTTACAGGAACACTCTAAGAATATGCTTCATGATTTCCTTTGGGTGTTCTTTTGGAGTAATTAACTGAGATTAAGGAAGTTGCCATGTGAACTGAAGAGCAAAATATATTTACAGCTCCAGTTGGTGAACACACTGCTGGGTTCTGCTCCATTGAGCACAGAGGTGAAGGTCACATATGAAGGTCAGTGTTATAGACCCTGATTTTAAAAACCACAGTCTCAGGCTCCCTTCCCCTAATCAGTTGGACATCTATTTCTCTGAGTACTTTCTACTCAGATATGCTTGTCCTGTGCCCACCATAAATTCACCTTTAGTCTCTGGTCGATCATTTCAAGTGAGCCTGTCGTAAGGGCTGCTAGGTTGTCCTGTCCCATTCATATGTCTACTCTTTTTTAGTACATGATTTCTCACCCCTAAAACTTCAAGAGCCTCCAAAGTTAATTCCCATGTAGTTCAGTCCCCCTTCCTTCCCCTGTTTGGCCTTACTTCCCAATTTTCTGTGTGGACTGTCTGTGATCCATTCAGACTCTCCAGGTGTGTGTTGGATCCTGTTTCCACTGGCCTCCGACAGTTCCCTGTTCTCTCTACTGCTTCACTGAATTCCCCCTCTGCATCTTACATTAGAAACCATGCTGAATCATCCCCCTTCCTAGAAACAGAACAAAATAAAAACACCCACCTCTATATATTGCCCTGATCTGCTTCACAGCAAGACTCTTAAAACAGACATTTCTATTTGCCTGCTAGCTCTTTCTCATATCCAGGCCTCTGAAAGTCGGCATGTCTAGTCATTGAATTCCAGGACCCCCTCTGTTCTCTGTCATACCCATTCCCTGCGTGATCTCTTCTAATGGAATGACTTTAAGTAGCATCTCTAGATCTCCATCATCTGCTAATTGCCAGCTAGGTATTAGGAATAGAAGACACTCTGAGGAAAATTTAGGGAGATAGACTACATATTTTAAAAACATCCTAGTGATATCACTGCTTATTAAGATAGTGCGCAATTACTGTCCACTGATCCAGAGGACTGGCTGAGAGGATCTACCATGTTTTCAGTGACTCCCCAGGGGTGAGAAGAGCAGAGTGGAATTTCAGAGGCTGCCGTGGGGGGGGCCTCCATAAACCTCCCCCACTTTGCGATATGACTCTGAAGGATCGTGACCTAGGAAGGAGGCGAATGAGAACAGCCGATCCTCAGAAGGTCCTGCAGGCTGGCTAAATGGTGCCCAAGCTGGACCTTGAACTCGAATGAAGGTAGACTTAGATGAAAGCACCCGCACATGCCTCACAAAACCCAGTGAGCTCCTCTCTAGGAGAGAAAACATCACCGTGGACACAAATTATAGATAGAGATAGATAGAGATAGATGATGATGATGATAGATAGATAGATAGATAGATAGATAGATAGATAGACAGATTGATTGTTTGATTGATAGATAGATTTTTTCAAATAGTACGCAGCACAGAGTTAAGCTAGGCACTCACAGAGACGTGAGTGGGACCCAGCGGAAAGCCAGGCAGTGTTTGGAGCCCGGTTGTACCCGGTTGCGCTCTCCCTCCAGAGAGGCGCCCGGTTATTGCAGGTATTAGACTGTGAGACAGACTGACACCCGCTTTAGGTTGCGGTCTCCGGAAGCAGAACCTGATGTCGCCCTATGAGTAAGGTGGTTGACTTGGTGCGTGAGGGGACGCTGGCCAGGAAGCAGGGAAGGGAGCGGCCCAGAGACAGACTCCTACTGAGCCGGCATCCCAGGGGAGCGATTTCTATGGGACTGGGAGGTGGCGCACCAACCCCTAGATGCTTTGGCTGATGGCTGCTCCCTGTTGTGGGGGTTCGGGGGCTGGTGGAACGCCCCAGCACTCCTGAACTGTTGCTGGCACAGACCGAGCAGGACAGTGTGAATGGAGGATGTTTCCAGCTGAGACTTTCTCTAGCGGGGTTGTAGAAGGATCTTTTCTTTTCTTACCAAACATCACTGTCACCCCCGATGCTCGTCCTAACTTGATCAGATGTTTCCAGTTTGAGCTGTGCTGGGAGCCTTGGTGGGACCTGTCCAATGAGATTGCTCTTGACAAGCACAAAAGACTTCGAAGGAAGCATTCTTAGGCTCCTCCTACTTTTGTTTCAGAGTCTCTAACTGTCTTATGTAACTGTCAAGATTGATTTCACATATAAAGATCAGTAATTGCGCCTTTTAAAAATTTCCTCAGACAACTTGGGTGTCTTTGGAATCAAAGCTAGTATTTTTATGTTTCTTATTTCTTTTTGATCAGTTTTCAAAATTTAAATTTTCTTTGCTGCCATGTATGTATTTATTTGAGATAGAATATACTTCAGAAATGTTTGACTTATGTAGGATTTTTTATCTGTTCAAAGATTTTTATCTGTTCAAAGATTTTCATCTATTCAAAGATCTTTTTTAAAAAAAAAATCTTCATTGATTTCAGAGAGAAGAGGGGAGAGGGAGAGAGAGAGGAACACCAATGATGAGAGAATCATTGATCAGCTGCCTCCTACACGCCCCTGACTGGGGATCGAGCTCAGCATGTGCCCTGACGGGGGGTCAAACCTCGATCTCCTGGATCCTAGGTTGATGCTCAACAGCTGAGCCATGCCGATGGGCTATTCAAAGATTTTATGTATATAAATGGAGCCTCTAATGTCAGAGGAAAATAAAAATGTCTTATTGACTCTAAAGTTTTATATTAATAATATTCCTGTATGGGAATCTGAACTTTGTATATTCAAATGTTCAATACCAGAATTATGAATAATTAGCTGATCAATATAAACACCAGAGATACATTAGAAGGTGGACAATTACAAGTGGCCCCGTGCCTCTGGACTGCTGCAAGGACCGTTAGAAAGTAGCCGTCTGTTTCAGCAGCAGGGCTGGGCCTCATTGCTGAGGGCTGCGCACCCAGTAACTGGCTTTCTCCCCCACCCTCCAAGTCAGATCACTCCCTTATGTCAAGGCAGGCTGGTATCTAATGGACTTAGGAAGCTTGGAAGTTTTGTGACGACAATAGTGTGGAGACATTTTTAGAAACTATCTCTGAGGCGCAGTGAAGATGTTAAACATGCGCACAGAAGCAAGATGGTGATGCACCGTAAATAAATCTGTGGAGGTTA